GGGTTGCGAGATCAGGGAGGAGCGCCTGTGGCAACGTCTTCGTGGATTTTGGCATGCTGCTGTACCAGGGCAAATGATAAAGCGCTGGCTGGCGGATGAAGAAAGAGTTAAAAACAACCCGCGTGGAATAGCGCAAACCACCGGAGCAGTTGTAGCAAGCAGCATGACGGTCGAGAGAGAGGGAGCATACGAAACAACAACAACAACAACAACAACAACAACAACAACAACCGACCTCTCTCCCGTCGCCGGTTGAGGCGGTCCAACACCGGCCGCGGCGCCTCCCAGAACTCCGGCGTCTTCTTCAGCGGAGACTCCACGTAGTTCAGGATCATCCTCGACTCCATGGACGCCGAGTCCTCGTCCGTAGAGTACGCGAAGCCACCGCTAGGGGCGCGAGGGAAGCGCGTCCCCACGGCCCCTGACTGATGAGGCGACTGCTGCAACCTCCGGCTGCTGCTGCTGCGCTTGGGGAGCTGGTCAGATCGAGATCGGCCCATCGCCACCGGCCCTTGGGCAGCCACGGCTGGGAATATTAGTTCCAGCGGTAGCGTCTGGTGCGGTGGGTAAAACGGGGACGTGAAAATGGGGCGGGGGCGAGGGAGTTTGTCAGCGCGCCAAATCAGGGGTGGCGGGGGCGCGTTTACACAGTGGCTGTGGATGGCAGAGTCCACAAATTTTGAAGAGGAAAGGATTGTCGGATCAAATCGTGACCCGCTGCCTCATGCACACGCTAGCTTGCGACAACATCAACACCAACGGGCGGTTTTGTGCTTCGATCTTGGCCAAGTTCTGTCTTCCTCCTATCCCATCCTATCGCTCACCGACGACACAGACGGGCAATGCGAAGTGGCCGGCGTGACACTTGTCCCTTCCCCGCCGCCGTTACCCGTGCTCGGCTGCGAAGACAACGCGTCCGTCAGCCTTCGGTAGACCGCGGCGTAGCCCTCGTCGTCATCGTGCGAGTGTCCCCGCCGGAAACCGCGGCCACCGCCGCCGCCGCCGCCGCCGTAGGACGCCCCCGCCCTTCCGCCCAACACCTCTTCGCGGCCGCCGCGTGGCCGCTCGGCAACCGCGTCACCGGCATCCTCTCCTCCAAGGCAAAGCTCGACGGCATCCGAGAACGCCGGCGACAGCACGGCCGACGCCTTGTCCTCCCTTCTCGCCTGCTTCTCGAAGCCATCATCATCCCGACCGGCGGCAGTAGCGCCGCCCTCGCCTTGTACGGCCACAGCACGACCTCCGAGCCCGTCCCCCGCTCTTTTCCCCCGTCTCTCCCACGACTTGCGTCGGCTGTCAGCAACACCCACGCCGAAACCAGCCCCGCCGCCGCCCACCTCGGGGGTGCCGCTGTCCCTGGGAAACGCAACGTCGG